TTAAGAAGATTTTGATAACATTAGGGCTGACGTGCAAGAAGTGAGAAATGACATCACTAACAGCACGGCAGCAGCGCACGCTGAAATTAATGGAGTTAAGGCCACGGTGAAAGAAGTTGAGGATGGGCTGTCAATGTGGAGCGTAGGGTTGGTACCTTGTTCAGGGGTACCTCAGAGTAGCCGTTCAGTGGATTCGAACCCCAACCTTCCGATCATGGGGCCACCACTCTACCTACTGAGCTATCCAGCACCAAACCAGTTGTCCATTTATTCAGTCCATTTACCCCTACTGTTCATCAATATAATGTAGCCAACATCGCCTCACTCAAAAGGCAATGGAAAAAGGTGCTTTGATTTACAAAAATTTTGACTTATGAAAGACCCTCTGGAACGATTTCCTTTCATAAGTCGGGGTTCCACTGTACTGTAATTCCGGGGTAATTATGGTTACCCAGTAACATCCACTGATCTCCAGAGAGAGCAACAGCTGGTGCACATTGTAAAGCAGACACTTTCATAGTGCTCCACTTTTTATACAACGTATACACTCTTATTGTGATGGTGTGTCTTGAGAGAGGCTCATACATGCTTTCATTTGTTACTATTCTAAGAACATTCCTCACACTGACATCTTCAGCAATGCAGTTTGTAGCTATCCACTTGACTATGGGGTTTGTTGTTCTTTGTCCTGCTTTTGTACACTTCTTCAAGCTGCATCCAATGTAGTCTGCTGAAGCTTGGATGATTTGGGCGTATTTGAAGTACTCTAGTGATAAGAAAACTCAACTTTGCAATGACTTCAGTTGTATCAGCTCTACCTTCTGAAACAGTTTTAAAATTAAAATGTCCATAATCTGTACATTTCTACGTATTTCTGTCCCCGCCAGTTTGTTATGTTTTGGTTCATGTGAGTCCCCCCGCCCCAAAAAAGAGAGGATGACTGTGACCACTGATTATTTTTTAGGGGCTTGCTTATATTAAAAAGACAAGATACGAAGCATTACAACACTTTAAAAAGAAAATGGCCTCAATGAATGCTGTAGCAGCATAGACTCAGAAACAGGGTTGATAGTACGCGTAAAACAGAAAAGCACTGCATTACAATTTAAAACCTGTAAAGAGTTTAGACATTTTAATTAAACAGCTAACCAAGAAGAAACAACAACTGAATGTCATTCAAAGGGTCTTCAAAATTGAAGATAGCTATTAAAAAAATCAGGATCTAAACAAGTTAATTTTTGCTATTAAGTTTCTAACAATGACATTCAGTGTTGCTTGATCACTTTTTGGACAGAGGTGGGTAGTAACGAGTTACATTTACTCCGTTACATTTACTTGAGTAAGTTTTTGAAAAAAATTTACTTTTAAAGTACCTTTTTTGCACGATACTTTTTACTTTTACTTGAGTACATTTGTGAAGAAGAAACGGTACTTTTACTCCGCTACATTTGGAAGATTTGACTCATTACTTTTTAAAAAATAATTAGTTTAACACATTAGATAACATGCCGCCAGTGGAGTTTCCGGTAACTTTTTTACCAATCAGATGTGGCCATGCAGTCACATGACCAGTTTGAAACTGTGGCGGGCAGAGCGGCCCAAGCGTTTCAAAGCAGTGTTGCCAACTTAGCGACTTTGTCGCTATATTTAGCAAGTTTTCAGACCCCTTAGCAACTTTTTTTCTAAAAAAAAGTCGCTAAAAAAAGATGTGAAAGCGCATATCGCTTTTACTCTCAACAAGCAGCGGGTGCTGTAACGCAGTCAGTTCTTCTTTTACTCTTTTACTCTTATGCTGTTTTGTGGATCACAAGGTTTAAAACTACTTATAAACACACACACACAAAGTAACTCCACCAGAGTGCCTATTTCGGGTCACTTTTACCGGTCCAAGCCCGGATAAAGGAGCAGGGTTGGAATTGTGACATTAAAAAAAAAACCAATTGCTAAAAGAAATTTAATTTGTAGTTCTAAATAAACTCTAAATGCATTTAGGACGTTTTTAACTCACTTTATGTCTCTTCCACGATGTTATTTCTCTCTCCAACAACATAAGTTACAATTAGATTAGCATGACCAATTATGCAAATTAGGCGATGACATCATTTAGCGACTTCTAGCGACTTTTAGGACAACCAATAGCGATTTTCCTTACTGAGGAGTTGGCAACACTGTTTCAAAGTAGCGGACACACGGAAAGAAGGAACATGAAAACATGAGTCTACGCTAGAGCTGAAGAGGATGAACACCCTTGGCCTCACATACAAAGAATGTTTCGCTTAAAAGCAGCACAAAAGAACAACTATGTCTTCAGCGTCGGTGTCTTCAGTGAGAGCCAAAACAAACCAACTTTTCAGCGTGAAAAAACTCAGCTCGTGTAACCTGAGGAAACGGTAAGTTTTCTCTAAATATCTTTTTAGCTGTGGTTAGCTGGATGTCAGTCTTATGTTACAGCAGCTGTCTAGAGCTCGAGCTGCGAGTCATATTTTCCGCGCTACGTTGTAGTGAGATAAGTTTGTGGGTGTTTTGTGCAGCTTCGGCTGTCTTTTTAACTGCTCGCTGGTTAGCTAGCGTGAGCTAGGGCTTTGGAGTTGACGTCACGCCGCAATGCATTGTGGGAGCGCGGCACCATTTTCGGGGTCTACGAATCAAAACAAACACACTGTGTTGGAACGACGATTACAAGATGCTTAAAAGCAGCTCAAAAGAGAATGGACTGCATAGAGACCGATTTCGTTCAGAGGCGAAGCGGCGGTACTTGCAGAAAATAGCGTGCATTGGAAATGTGGACCCATATGAAATACGGCCGTGGAGTAGAAACCCTGAAGACCAACCGCTATTGACGTAGCCTGACATATTTTTGTACCTTATCTGTGGAGTCAGCGCGTCCTTGTCCTGAAGGATTTAGTTATTCTTTATGGTTAAAGAAATTGCAATGATTTATTCATATTTATTATAGTCAAAGGAGCTTGACATTTTATTTTAGTTTTATACAATGATTAATGACCTGCAGAATCTCCTTATCATATTAAGTGATTCATAATTGTCACTTTATGCTTTCTCTATCTCTAAAGTGATGACAGAGAACAGGCAGATTTACACTATAACATGCAGCATTCTATAGATGGACACATAAAGAAATGAAAAATTACATGTATGTGCTAACTTTCTAAACACTTTGTTACATTTATGATAAAGTAGATAAAACACATTTATGTCGGCCTTGGCTCATAGTTCTTGTCTGTAAATTCACTTTGCCTGTGTGTGTTTCAGGTCCTGCACTCTCAAAGACTGAATGAACCAGCATTGCAGCCTTGGGTCATGGTGAGCATCACAGGGAAGTTTGAAGCCGCCCACTGCACCTGTATGGCCGGAGTCGCGGAGACCTGCACCCATGTACCTGCTCTTCGGTTTAATGTAGGAGCAACAGTGTTGATCGTGGCACAAGGACTGTTACAGATGAACCTGCATACTGGGTTTTGCTGGGTAATGTGACCAAGATACAGTCAGTGGTTGGCCATAAGATAGACTTCTCCTCTTCAGCTGCCCAAAAAAAAAGCTTTTGATCAAAACATAAACAGAACATCCATAATGAAAGGTAAAAGGAGCCGTCCTCAAAACAGAAAAATCCCACCTGCTACTGTGGAGGAGTTGTCACTGCTATAATGACATAATGTTTTATCTAGGGGTCTAGATTTATGCCTGTAGTGCACTGCCGTGTAAATAATTTGCATTTACTGAATATGTACTGACTGAGTCCCACTGTTCAAAAGTTAAATAAAGAAACAAACTAATTTTTGCCTCTTTTTTTTTTTTTTATTAAAACCACTTTATAGAACATCACATCCGTTACAGTGTCATGTCATTTATAGTTTACAAATGACAAAATGTTTACATAAAATCATGACAGTGTTTACATGATATCACCCACTACTAACATTACTTTATTTACTGTATCTTTTGGAGAGAAAAAAAATCGCTATTTATACAGCAAAAGACTTAAGAATATTTAACAGGAGCAGGTTTCATTTTCCCTGGTTTTATTATCACACTGTTCACCAAACGCAGCAAACCTTCACCATCTTATCCAGAAGGGTCACCTCTTCACTCTTACATGGAAGAAGTAATCTGATTGGCATGGTAGTATGTTTGAAGCAGGTCCCTTGTGTAGTGCTGGAACCCAGTCATGATGTTTCATCCATTTCATAGGCTGGTTTGCTGCAATAATGCCAAATAATTAGCAACTCTATAAATAGAAGGTAGTTCTGCAAAATCACTCATTAGGATGTTTGTTCTAATTTGCTATGAGCTCAGAGCGCATCGAAAATAAAACGAATAGGCTATAAAGAGTGATATGAACATATTTAGAACTTACCGGAATGAAAATGTCTGGAGCACCAACAGATATCTGGAGATGGAAGAGAACTGGATATCAGCTCGTCTCACAGCTGCTATCCAGGCTACACGCCTTCGTTTGGTAACATTGATACACAAGCTGCCTCATGTTGCTTCCAGGTTGGGAAAGAATGAAAAGACAAACCCTTTTCAAGCTTATTCTCTTGCCGGTCGAGCGATCGAACACTGCAGCCGACCACACAGCAAATATGAATGGTGGCTGATGTGTGTGCCTTCGCTCCCTTTTCGCTTGCGCTTTGTTTAGACTGTGGCGGTAAGCATCAACGACACAGAGCTATCAGTCCTCACTCCTTTATTTGTCTCCAACATCAACTGCGCATATCGCGCCACAAAACACAGGGACACACTTCCTATACACTGGGTGTGAGTGGAGCCCTCTAGTGGTCCACCACACATGCCCCACCCCCCACCCCCCGAACACCCAGCAGAACTAGTCCAGGACCCGGGCTTAAGCAAACGGCCGGAACGGCTGAACTGGGGGGGTGGGGAACTGACAGAGGGCAACCCAGCCCGGGAGCGAGGCTGGCACTGGCGGTCAGAAAAAGCTGCAGATTTTGGGTCGCTCCGGGGGGAAAAAACAGAATCCATCAGCCCGGTGGCAGGTGGGCGGCCGCGGCGAGGGCCTGGGCCGGGACCACCTGATCCTCTTGCATAACACGTGCAGGCTTAAGTCTGTCAACAGAGACAACTTCCTGCCGACCGCCAAAGTCCAAAATGAAATGTTTGTTGCCTGGTTTAAGAACCTTGTATGGCCCCTCATATGGTGGACGCAGCAGAGTCCTATGGGCATCGTGCCTGACGAAAACGAAACGAGCAGAGTCCAACGAACTCGGAACAAAAGTGTCAGGCAGGCAGTGGTGCACAGGACCAGGAACAGGAAATGAGTCTCTTCGGGGGCGAAAAGGCAACAAAGAGGTATCGAAACATGGGGGAGGGCTCTCAGGTAAGAATTCCCCGGGGACCCGGAGAGGCTGGCCGAGCACCAGTTCAGCTGGGGAAACCCCGAGGTCTTCTTTAACCGCGCTACGCAATCCCAGCAAAACCCACGGAAGACGGTCGACCCAGTCGCCACTTGTTAAGGAAGCCCGGAGCGCGGCCTTAAGTGACCGGTGAAACTGTTTGCACATCCCATTAGCTTGCGGGTGGTATGCTGTGGTGCGGTGGACCTTGACTCCCAGGCCGTCAGCCATAGCAGACCAAAGCTCGGAAACAAACTGGGGGCCCCTGTCCGAGGTAATGTCAGCAGGGGGGCCGAAATGTGAAACCCACGTTGACAAAAATGCCCTGGCCACCGTCGCCGCTGTCGTGGACGCCAGGGGTACCACCTCCGGCCACCTGGTTGTGCGGTCCACCACAGTCAAAAGGTGCGTGAAACCCTGTGACTGCAGCAAGGGACCAACCAGGTCCACGTGATCGAAAACGCCTACCCGGGACACGGAAAGGTTCGAGGGGTGCCTGTGTGTGCCGGTGGATTTTCGAGCGTTGGCATGGGATACAAACCGCCGCCCATTCTTTCACCGTCTTGCGAAGACCCGGCCAAACAAACCTGGCGCTGACCAGCTTGACTGAGGCCCGGACGCCGGGATGAGAGAGGGCATGCACCGAGTCAAAAACACGACGACGCCACGAAAGGGGAACCACCGGGCGGCTGGTGGAAACGTCGCAAAGAAGGTGTGGACCGCCGTCCCACACCGGGCTGTCCTCCAGCGCAAGGCCCGTTTTTGTTGACTGAAGGGCAAGGACGTCCGGGTCAGCACGTTGCTCGGCGGCCATGGCAGCGTAGTCGATGCCGACATACACCGGAGAAACCAACACACGTGAGAGACAGTCAGCAACGTGATTGGACTTACCAGCCACATGCTGAATGTCTGTGGTAAACTCTGAAATGGCCACCAACTGGCGCTGCTGGCGTGCACTCCATGGGTCAGAGACCTTGGACATCGCAAACGTCAAAGGTTTGTGGTCAACGTACGCAGTAAAGTTGCGACCCTCGAGGAAAAAACGCGAGGTGCAGGGCCAGGAACTCCCTGTCAAAAACACTGTACTTGCGTTCAGCATCCCGGAGCGTACGACTGAAAAAGGCGAGCGGTTGCCAGAGACCTGAAACCCGCTGTTCCTACACCCCACCCACTGCCACGTCAGAGGCATCGGTGGTCAACGCGATCTCCGCCGACGGAAGTGGGTGGGCCAGCAGGGCGGCGTCAGTCAGCGCAGACTTGGCTGCGGAAAACGCACGGACGCGTTCCGGCAGCCAGTCAACCGGATCTTTGGCTGTTTTACCTTTTAAGGCAGCATAGAGTGGCTGTAGCAGGTGGGCAGCTCTGGGGAGAAAGCGGTTGTAAAAATTTATCATCCCCAAGAACTCCTGCAACGCTTTAACCGACGTGGGACGCGGAAAAGCCGAAACGGCCTGGACTCTGTCGGGCAACAGAACCACACCTTCAGCGGAAATGCGGTGCCCGAGGAAATCCAGAACAGGCAACCCAAACTGGCACTTGGAAGGGTTGATGATCAGGCCATGTGCTGCCAAACGCTGGAAAACCTGGCGCAGATGGGACTCGTGCTGGTTCGCTGAGCAGCTGGCCACCAATATATCGTCTAGATAAACAAAAACGAATGGCAGCCCACGCAAAAGTCCATCAGCCGCTGAAAGGTCTGGGCGGCACCTTTCAGGCCAAACGGCATGCGCAAAAACTCGAACAAGCCGAAGGGGGTAATTACAGCGGTTTTAGGAACGTCTTCGGCGCGCACGGGAACCTGGTGATACCCCCGCACCAAGTCAATTTTAGAAAAAATCGACGTTCCGGCGAGATTGGCAGAAAAATCCTGAATGTGGGGGATTGGGTAACGGTCATTCTCCGTGGCATTATTTAAACGGCGGAAATCTCCGCATGGCCGCCACCGACCGTCCGATTTGGGCACCATGTGAAGCAGAGAGGCCCATGCACTGTGCGAACGCTGTACAATGCCAAGGCGCTCCATGGCTGCAAACTCTTCCCGAGCGACGGACAGTTTCGCGGGGTGGTAGAAACAGATGCTCTTTCCACGGTGCCGGCGTGTAGCAATCCCTGCCGTCAGCAAAGGGAAGGAAGCTCCGGGGGAGGCAGGTGGAGGCGTGGAAGGTGCCGCCGGCGTGTCCGTAGCCAGGGCGTGAATGTCGAAAGTGCGGCTAGCCAGGAGAATGCGATCCGCTTCTTCAGCCAGGGAGCGATAATCCTTCGCAGGCAGAAGCGGAGAGTTCGCGAGGACAGCTCTCACGGTGGCCGGTAGTTGGCAGAGGAAGAGGTGGGCGAAGAGGAAACCACCGTCATCCGGCCCGAGCAACGATAGCATGTTCTCCATGAGCTCGAGTGCGGTACCGCCACCCAAGCCTGACAGGTTGAGGAGCTTTTCGGCTCGTTCAGCGTCGGAGAGGGCATAGCGCCGAAGAAGCAGCTCTTTGAGGGCAGCGTATTTCCCTTGGGCGGGTGGGTCCCGGAGGAGCGCCATCGTGCGACGGGTGGCCAGCGGGTCGAGTGAGGCCACCACATGGTGATACTTCGTGTCGTCAGCCGAGATGCCGCGAAGGGCGAACTGAGTCTCCACGTGTACAAACCATGACGGGGGGTCATGGAGCCAAAAGTCCGGCGGTTTCAGCGCCACAGCGAACGTAGCTGCAACAGGAGGCGGAGGTCCGGCGGCCGCTGATGCATCCATAGCGGAGTCTGCGTTATCTGCGGCCCGTTGCATGCTCGAGTCAGGGGTCACCAATGTGGAGGTAAGCATCAACGAAACAGAGCTCTCAGTTCTCACTCCTTCTTTATTCGTCTCCAACATCAACTGTGCATATCGCGCCACAAAACACAGGGACACACTTCCTATACACTGGGTGTGAGTGGAGCCCTCTAGTGGTCCACCACAAGACCCCCAAAATGGCGGATCGGGCCAAAATCCTTTCCACGCCCACCCCCGTGACATCACGCTCCAAAGCCCTTAGTCTGGTTAATGACGCTAGAGTTCCACGCACATGTAAACAGCTCGTCTCCACTGCTTTAACTGTTAAAACAGAAGGCAATACTGCGGGTGACAGGGTTTATTATGTGAAACAGCAGCTTGTTTAGTTTAACCCTTTAGAGCCGATCGGAGCGGACACGCTCTGTTTTGCGTAACTATTTTTAAATCCCAGTAGCACTGCAACCATGTAAGCTAGCGCAAAAATTTTTTTGCATATGAAACCGGAGGAGTTGTACTTACATCTTATGCCATCAGCTTGTCCTAGGTCACGGTTTCCTTCCACATAAAGCTTTGCAAAAACTGCATAAAAAGCGCTTGCAGGAACAAAAACATAATATTCCAGAAACACGCTTTGCCGATCCGATCAGCTGTTCATAACACTTCCTACGTTGGACTAGACGTCAGCGCGAACTTTTGCATTTCCGCCATTACCTGCCCGGAAGTGACGTCATTTTCCCGGAAATGTAGTCTTTTTTACCATGAGGGCCTTAGGGCCTGTACTTGTCTTTTCAAAAGTTATCTTTGACTTTATGACTTTCTGTGTCGTTTCTGGGATGTTTAGGACTCATATTGCACTGCTGGAAATAGTTTTTTTTTATGCATATGCTGCTTTTTTGCAAATTTGCAGTATAATATTTACTTTCGTTTTTCCTGCAGTGTATAAAAATTGGTGTATTTCAAAAATAAAACTATGAAGACACTCAAAATAAATTTCCTGTGGTGGGAAACTATTTTGTGCAACTTTTTTGTATTTACAGTTTTGAGGGATAAGCCTCTTAAATTTCTCTAACTACAAATATATGTTAAAAAAGCAAAAACGATTTTCAATTTATTGTAGTTTATTGCACTTTTTTGCAATTTATGTAATTACTATGCACTTAATGAATACATATTATTAAAATCTGGGCTATAATGGTTGTATTGATGTATAGCAACTTGAAATGCTCCCAAAATGGCTCCACAGCATGTAATAATATAATATAAGCTCTGGCGGACTTGGTTCTATGGTAGGTCTTAAAGGGATAAACAGTCTGCATTAAGCTGGGCAAACACTGCGATTTTTTTTCAGTCGCTTTATTCAGCTCCTGCTCAAACTGTACAATTGAATCTCAGGGGTTAGAAGTTCATAGGTCATGATGCAGGGTCTCACACTATACGGCCTGATGCTCTGATGCGACCTGAGTGCTCAAACTGTGCATTCATAACATGAAGCTTATCATATAAAATCTGTCTCTGGCTCTCCCTCTCTGTCTTTTACTCACTCACACAGGCACACACACACCACCACCGTCAACTTTGCTAAATTACTAATGAAAAACATTGACCAGGCAGCTGTGATTGAGCAGCAATGTCCATCCAACTCTTTTCATGGTTGTTGTAGTCGTGATAATTTTGTGAGGCCACATTGAAAAGACTTGGATACGGAAGCGTAGAGCTGCCACAAAGGCAAAAGAAAAATAGAAAAGGGAAAAGTATATTGTTCTAACAATATACCTTTCACATTTGAACAATATAATATCACGTTATTACAATATACAGAATTATCACGTTTGTACAATATAAATATTATATAGGCTACATTGCAGCTCCAGTCACGGCTTCCATCACAGTCTTTCCTGTCTTTTCCCAGAGTAACAGCCAAACAGGAGGATCTATTGGCTAGCACTGCTTAGCAGGGCTCGCAAAATTGCTAGCCCGACGTCCCGGGGCTAGCGATTTTTCCAGTCGGGTTACAAAAATCTATCGCTGCCCTGCCTGTTGGGCTATCATAGGAAGGAAAAATATATGTCAATGCTTTTGCATTCTTTCGGAAATGTAGCTGGGTAATTATGTCATTGGCATCGGTGAGCCACTGTCAATATGCAACAAATTGAAATCGCGTTTGAATTTGCACTTGTTTTTTGCTTTCACTTTGCAATCACGTGAACTGTGTATAGAGAGCGACAGCACTGATTGGTGAGTGATGATAATTTGCGCACCAATTCCTCTGACATCGTCTTATCAATCGTTAGCTTACTATGCAAACATGACAAGTGAAATCTCCCGCAGCAAGCTTAAACATGTGAGAGGTTGATCGCGCAGAGAATCGCTGAGCGTTATGTGAGTGCGTGTGTAAAAGCAGCAGGATATATATTTTAGTTCTGCTGAGCCAAATAAGACAGGTCAGGGTGAAGAAGTGACAGCCAAAGAAAAGCTTACCACGAAACGGAAAAGTTATGACAAATCAGACTATAAGGCAAAAAGAAAGTGCAGCTTTATGGTTTCATGGACAAAAGAATTTCCGTGGCTGCAATATGACGAGCTAAATAACCAGGGCTGCATATAAGTGGTCCGCAGGTGCGCATTCGCTGTCAAAATAAAAAACGCGCACAAGATAAGAAGTTGCAATGCGTGTTTGCGTACATAAGATTTTCTGGAGGAGGACAGACATTTGTTTAGAACTCTTAAAGATGTCGAAGAAGCAAGCTCCTTTAAGCAATTACTTTGGTGTTCCTCCACCTCCAAAGAAATGTCAGAAGGAGTCCGAACCGCAAAAGAAGCGCATATTCTCGGAAAAGTGGTTGCAGGAGGTGAGCTGGCTTCAAACAAATGATGAACGCACAGATGTGGTGCAGAATGTGCCCTGAAAATCCCACTCTAGCGGACAAAAACAGTGCTTTTTATATGGACGCAAACGCACGTTGCAACTTCTTATCTGGTGCGCGTCTTTTATTTTGACAGCGAATGCGCACCTGCGGACCACTTATGTGCACCCGTGTAAATAACATAATGTTCTGCCGGGTGTGTTGTGAGTTTCATTCGATTTCTGAGTCGACAAGTGTCTTTGTTACTGGGACCAGTAATTTTAAGAAAGGCCCCCATTAGAACCCATGAAAAATGCAAGAAATGCATTATTGCTCAGTCTGCAATATCTTTCCCGGAACAAACACCAATTGCAAATAACATACTAAAAATAAACCTGAAAGATCTGTTTAGAACAGCTACTATGTTGCAAAGAGTGAACTACCACTGGCAAAATTTAGCAGTCTTTGCAAACTTCAAAAAGCAAAGGGCCTCGATCTTGGTTCCACTTGCCTCTTACCCGTGACTTCAGTGGAAATTTCAAATTCAGGATCTGACACAGACTGATTCATGTCCTACACAGTTCTTACAAGTTCATAGAAATTTCTGTTCAATTAGAATCAAGTATTTGAGTTGATGATTGTAATTTTTATTCAATGTTGTAATTTGCGTTTCAACAATTTTTTGATTAATGTTTTGTTTCCGTTACAATATTATACTTTAATGTATAATATTGTAAAGGAAACAAAACAGGAAACAAAACATCAATCAAAAAATTGCTCTCTTTTTTATTCGGGCTACTTAAATTTATTTTGGGCTACCAAAAACCGAAGAGTCCCTGCCCGAAGGGCTACCAGGGAATTTGAAATTTTGCGAGCCCTGCTTAGCCTTGCACGCATTCTTATTTTAAACTTAATCTGGAATTCATTGCAAACTGTTTGTGCGGAATATGAATGACAAGATTTTGTTTTTCTACAAGAGTTAGTAAAAAACATCTCCAGTGTGATCAAATCTTCTTGCCAAACATCCACAGCTTGGCAGTGTATACAGCACTATAATGACCAGACCTAATTCTTTTGAAAACCATACATCTTTCCACAGGTCTCAACTTCATCAGACATCACCTAGACACAGAGCTGGATGATGCTAGGGCAAACAGCGGCCTATTCGACTAAGATGATGGACCCATGGGGTCAAAAAAGCCAGAAGCAGGGCTGGAGAGGTACCTTTCATGTCCATTCACTGGAGGTGTGGATCTATTGCATAGCGTCCCTCACATCAAGAAGCTGTTGATCAAAATCAATACTGCTCTTCCTGCATCTGGAGCTTGTGAAGGACTTCTCAGTCATGCAGGACTCCTGTTCACTGCTAAACAGTTACAGCTTCACAGAAAGAACCTTGAGAGCAAACTGCTGCTGAAGCTTAACCATCACCTTACTGAGTCAAGAAATGGCACATTTTTGCTAAATATGCAGAAATAAATGCACACCCATACAATGTATGGTAAACTGAGCTCCCTTGTATGTACATTAGATTAGATTAGATTAGATAGAACTTTATTAATCCCTCGGGTGGGTTCCTCTGGGAAATTCGATTTCCAAAAAAGCACAGCACCGACAGAAGTTACAGAGTTACAGAATATTATACATATATATATATATATATATATATATATATATATATATATATATATATAATACACACACACACACACACACATATATATATATAAATACAGAGACAATATAAATAAAATATACGAAGGGGATAAATAGAATAAATAGGAATAAAAATAAAAATACAAGTGAATTGCACATTTCAAGTATTGCACCGTTGACTATTTACAAAAGTATTGCACAAAAGGTATTGCACAGTGAGGTGAAGAGGCACTACAGCTTAGTTGTTCCCCCCTCCTTTGTCCTCCTGTTTCCCCTCCCTCTCCCCTCCAAGGAGGAGTTAAACAGTCTGATGGCGTGTGGGACAAAGGAGTTTTTAAGTCTGTTAGTTCTTGTCTTTGGGAGAACCCTTCATGAGGAAGATGTCTCGTTCTGTTTTCTCTGAGGCTGCTGTGCCATTTGGAACAAAAATGAATATAAAGTTTACAGCATATCTTGTCACTGGAAATTGTTTGCACTGTTTATATATTTATATTATTTACTGTAGGTATTGGTGAAAAAAGCTTGTTGAAAATCTGAAATCTTGAAATTAGAATTGTTGTGCCTTATTTTGTTCATGTTTTTACATATATTCCGTTTGAAAATACTAAAATTTGTATATTTATTTTTTTTGGTTTGTCTGATAGCATTTATTTATAAAATAAATCAGACATTTCAAACGGTTACTCGCTACTTGAGTAGTCTTTTCACGAAGTACTTGTTTACTCTTACTCGAGTAACTTTTTTGAAGACTACTTTTCACTTTTACTTGAGTAATATTTTAAAGTAATGCTACTCTTACTTGAGTACAATTTTTGGATACTCGACCCACCTCTGCTTTTGGATCCACTTTTTTGACCATTTAAAGAAACCGAATTTTGAGGTACTGTTGAGTCCACTTCCCTTCTCAAAGGTGTCTAATTCCTACCTCTGGTATTTACCTAGTAATATTGCCATAAAACCATGGAAAGTGAGGGCTGCAGAACAGAAGCCAACTTACACGAGGAACAGGCCGTTGTGTATTTTAGGACCCCACGGACATTACTGCCGCTCTGAGTTCGGTGACGTCAGAGCGGTCTGCCGATATTTGCGGGTTAAGAAAGATGGCGGCTGAGAAGAGCAGGTTGAAACAGCGGAGTCATAAAAGCAGCATATTTAAAGAAGGTAATTAATGCTCTGAGACTTGAAAGATTCTAGTAAGAAGAGTTTTTGTGTGGTTTTAACCGCAGTGTGTTTGTGCGCGTTTGATAGATAACAACGGTTATGAAATGACAATGCAGCGCTCCGCTTCGCCAAATATTCGCCTCAGCCGTTGTTTCGCATATTATTGCGAATTTGAGCTTCCCGCTGTGTTCGACCGATAAAATATCACTGAAAAGATTGTTTTGATTATGACACTGAGCGTGCGTTCTTTGAGCCGGGGACGACTCATTCTCGCTGTGCAGTGTGTTGTTACAATAAAGCCGGTGTGAAGCCACTCAGCTGTCCTCACCTGCAGCTGAATCTGTTTGTTTTTCCTGCTACTGCTTACCCCTTGAGCTGATGTTCCTTCTTGTAGAACATGTCATTATAACAGCCGCTGAACCGATCTGTCAATGTACAGTAAATAGAAGCCTGTATTCGTCTATTATCTAGCAACTAGCTAACTTAACTTGCTGTGTAATTTTAGCTAGGCTAATGTACGACGCACTGGATAACGAGGCGCTATAACAGCGGACACCGTTACAAATGTAATATAGCTTTATGCCTTAGGCCTTAGGGTACACACATTACAAATTAACTTCGAATTCCAACTAAAGTTAAAATTGCCAGTTGAATGGCTTTCCTCTCTTATTAAGAAATTCATGAAATTAACATTTGTAAATGAAGAGCTGAATTGAAAAATTCAGCTTTTTAATTCTCTAGTATCGACGAAACTTGTATTATTTTTGCAAGAGCTCTGATTGTGCACCCTTGATCTCAAATGTAAGTCAACGATTTAATGGACAGAGGTCAGAAGGAATAAGCAGTGAGGTAAGTTTACCTTAATACTGGAATGCTCTACTATTTAGCTGTGGAGCTTCAAAGAATTACTTGCCAGTAGTTGTTACCTGTCACTGGAAAAAATAAAACGCATAAGCAATGCTATCGTGGTTTTCGTGAAAGACACCCAGTATCAGGTTAGAGTAGTTCATAATAATCTGCTTACAAGGTTCTCAAGGATACCAGGACAGCTGTGTTGGTTTCCCTGAGCTGGCTGTTTAGGAAATCTTGGATTTTTAAAGTTTACTAACTCCTTAGTCTGTTTGGGGAGTGTTGGTGGACTGTAATATCAAAAAGCCTTCACTGTTCTTTACCCTGTTTTTAAGCACAGAGTTTCTTATGTCATTGAAGAAGAAGCTGGAAATGTTTGCTGTTAAAGATGTCATGGGATTTGTATGTATTTGTGCTGGTATGTTTATTATCTTGACAGATTCAAGTTCAGACTGAATATTGCAACAGCACTGATGCTTATAGACCTGTACTTATTAGCCTGATCCTAATGGGAATTCTTAGGGCGTGGTTATTGGTTTTGCAATTCTCTGATAAGCCCTGGGCTTCTTCATAGAAGCACTTTAAGACAGATTAGCAGAATTTTGACTGAATATAGTTTCTAATGTGTTTTAATAGCAAAGGACAGACACTGGAGAAATGTTTAAATTGGGCAACTTGCTGAAAGGGTGAATCTAAAGGGGGCGTGGCATGTAGACTGTTTATTTTCAGGGTTCCATAGCGTTATTTATTTTAGATTTAAATTTAATGCCCTGTCCTACCTATGACATGACAGCCTTACCTATCTGCTTTTGATGTGGAGGAGTAGCAGCTCTACTCTGAACCCCTCCCGAATGACTGAACCCATCCATCCACCTTTTCGAGGCAGAGCCCATCCACCTTTTACAAATCAGGCCTAGATTAATAGATTTACTGCATTTCCCAAAAACCATGAGCAGTCTGGTGGCAAAGTTGGCAGTCTACAGTAGTCCTTTTTAGCAAATGGCTGTGTTAGCCTTGCTCCATCTTAATAATTACACCAGCAGCAGAAAACAAAATACACTGTCCTGTCCAGCAGCTTCACGCTGAAACTTTACCGTGTCTTGCCAGCATGGGTACAGACACAAACTGTGACTTCTCGTGACGAAAAGTCTGAACTCACTCACTGAAAATACTTGAAAACAAGCTAACTTCTCCACCTGCTCTGTGTCATCGCACACTGTCTCTTTGCGCTCTTTTTACTTTTCCTCTTCTCTCCCACCTTGTGCTACCTTCACCCATCATATGCAGGAAATTACATTTTTCACAAGCAGTTCACAATAACTGAAAGAACCTTTTTTTTTTTTTTAAACAATGTAAATATGTTTTTAGTCATTTTACATAAACTTTGACTTTTAACAAAATGCATTTACTCAATTTCCTTTTCTTTGTAATCTTACTTTACTTTCTTACTCCACTTTACTATCTATCTATAAATCTAAAATTAGTAAAACATAACTGAAGTTTTAGATTATAAATACAGTATGAGGGAGATGGATGATAGATATTAATAGATGGATCTCTTTGAAATCTTCATCCAGAAGAGTACAGTATGTTTATGCTTGGATACATTAATAGCTTTGCATTATTCACAGTTCAGATGATCTTCATTTGTCTAATGGTGTACCTCAGTGACCCCTCTGAGTTTATCAAATATCTGAAACAGAGTTTCTAGATGTCTTCCTCCCTTTCAGTTAACTTTATTCTGATTTGCTGGCCCTCGTAAGTAGAACGTTAAAGCACGGACTGTCTTTTTCATATAGCATAAGCAACATCATAGCATAAGCAACATCACTGCTTCTATGACAAATTGAATGGGGACCAGGTCACCCAAAGAGTTAAATCTGTCCTGGTTACATGTCTCTATTCAATCTAAGTGGCTCTGTAGGTCAGTGAAGCATCACTGCTGCCATACAAGGAGCTTTACTCATCCAAAGGTTAAAACTGACTTTTGTAAATAGTGGTTTTATTTACTATACACTTCAGGTCAGGCCTGCAGTTCCGTAATGGCAATAATTCCTCTTAGAGGACTATAATCAAGAGGAAAGCTGAGGCTTCTAGAATTAGACTGGGTTTTTTTCCCCCATCCAGCAGACTTTCACTTCGACTGCCAGTTTATTGATTCCTGCAAGGAGACTCAACCTTCAAGACTACAGCCATGCTATATAGAACATATTCACACTGTAAAGAGTGCTTAGTTTAATGCATTTATTTGAAAATGGCAATAATGGTATTGCATTTGTTTAGAACTGTCAGCATTTTCCCATAAATAAAAGGCAATTAATTATTTTATTCTCTAAATACTCTAATATTCTATATTCTCTAATATTCACGTAAAGATTATTTTGGTAGTCAGTTTGTGGCTAATCTGTCAGTTAATTTTTATTAGTCAACGATTATTTATTCACTCCTTTAATCTTTGCTTCCTGTAGGCATACCTCTTGTTCCAGGCTACAGTGCATATTTGCTTTACCTGTTCAAGTTGCCCAGCTATAAATGTCACCCTGCTGTCTCTTCTCCAGCCAATTAAAATAATGACCCATGAAACATATGAATTTGAAGTTAGTGTTTTCAACCAATAACTGTAGAAAACATGGACGACCTAACAGCTTGTCCCCTGGTGTCTGGCTCCAGTATAGGTCATAAACCCCGGCTCCTCCATGTTATCAGATTTTTCACAAATATGCTTTATGCCATTATTAGCAATTCTCATTGTTCAAGGGGTCTCCTTTCTTACAGGTTGGATTCTAGTTAATAACTTAATGCTGTTATTGGGGTCAACGTCATCATGACAGCTTTGACTGGCAACTGTTGTTACAGAGAAACTTGCCTATATCTAATCTGGAATGGCTGATAGAGCCAGGACGCGGAGAGGAGGGCCAGGATTTACTTTCCAAAACCACGACTGTTTCAAACTGACAGCATGAGGTGTTCTGCAGTAAACTGGATTAACCGACAGAAGGACCAGAGGCCTAACTGCACTTTTTCGGTAAGTTGAATGTGAGTTTGTAAGATAATCAGAAATTAACATCCTGAGATAGCTAGCTTAGTTGAGCAGTCATCTGTTGGGGAAAGCCGTGTTTGGTAGCTAATCCGTGCATGTGAATGAATATACCTTGACTAAACAAGTCACTCTGAGCTTGAATGTACATTAAAGTCAGTGCTGTACAGTCAGAGCTCTGCTGCTGTACTCAATGGAAAGATGTTCAGACCTGCAGCTGAAGATCAGGCACTAAAACTGTTTATAAGAGCAATGGAAAAATGCCACTCTAGCTGCTCAGTCACTAACTAACATGACAGTTACTGTACTTTTTATGAGTATTATTCTGTAAGAGCAACAAGTTAGACTCTCCTTCAGTTCTTTTGGAGAGCTGATTATAAAATATATGCAAATGGCAGCATTTTTGTGTCTCCCTTACATCTGTAATGACAGTAACACCAAATTAATAAAAGAAAATGCACTTTAAACCCTCATTGATGGATTTCATTCAGTTTTAACAGAAGAAGAATTACTGAAGATCGAAAATGTTCTCACAATACAGCCTGTAAAATCAGTCCCAGTTTCTGATTTCCGTTTGTGTCTTACACAGCTGATGTTCACAAACTAAAAGAAACAGGATTATAATAGGAAAGCAGGGGTATCTATACACAGCCTTGTACCTGGGGGCTTGCTTGTTGTGTTAGAGACTCCATGATAGTTCCTCCTCTTGCTCCCATTTCTTAGGTTTCTGTTGCCTGAGGTATTCACTGAGCACATTGGTGGTGGCCATCTTTCTGGTGTAGTTGTGGATATTCGTTGTCTCATCCTGGACTGTGGTACTGACACTCACTAGTCCCTGGCCTCCTTCCTTCTTAGGCATACCTTCCTTCTATTTAGGCGTACAGTCTCAGGGTGCTAGATTTGGGGTGAAACCCTACATGCATGGTAAGGAGCTTCCATGTCTTGATGACAGTGGCTTCTATGTCTGCATTGCTATTGCTGCATTCCATAGTCTACCAGAGGCCTGGGAGCTTGAGGGTCCTGCGGAGTATCTTTGCCGTTTCTAGGACCTCGCTCTTCTGGACAGAGATATTGGATGCTGTTCCTGGGATCTGCTGGAGCCACTCGCCTAATT